AACATTTTTCAAATTTTTTAAAAAACAGTGTCTGGATTTAACTTACTAAGGTACAGGGGAATATTGTCCTCCTGCTTCCAAATTTATAGCAACTACCTATACAGCTTGTTTTGTTACACTACATAAGACCATTATTTATGTGTGCATTTATTCCTATGTATGGAATTTATTTCATGGCACCCACACTGTTGAGTAGCAGAAGCTTACTAAGTGGTTTTGCTCTTGATTCATCCAGTCTTTATTGCAGAAGAGAAAAATTGCTTATTCAGGTGGTCTCAGCAGGCAGAGTGCTATCTGAAATGGTAAGGAAGGCAATAAAGATTCGGTAACAGTGGAGGGAGTCAGGAGCTGAGGTTCCAGGCAGAACTGATTTTCTTTTTATGAATGCCTCACTGCTCTTACTTGCTTGATGATCTTCTCTACCATTCATATGATAATCAAGATGAAAAAGCAGATTCTCCCTTCTCCATGTGAAATTGTGGGAAGATAAAATGTGGACACAGGTTGAGCATGAAACCACAGTGGTCAGTGCATGCCATCTGCTAAGGCAGTAACATTCATTTTGCAGTAATCACTGCTTGCCGTATAGTAGCTGCAAATTTTTACTAGGATCACACACCTGTAGTGCAACAGACTTAGGAATCCATAGGAGGCAGCCATACCTAGGCCAGAGGCTCTTGCTAGTACGGCACAGTGATTGCTGGTGTGCTCCACTCGGGATGTCGTGCGATGGAACCAAAGCCTGGTGCAGGTGTGCAGGCATTCAGGAAGGCCCTCGAAATCGCTGTTCTTTGAGAAGGTCAGTGACTGACTGAAAAGCTGCTGAGATAGGTCTGGCAATGAAACTGCTGAATGAGCACAGAGAGAGAAAGTCAGCGTGGGTCGGGGCGTTCTACTAGCGTGTGGGAGCGCTCCCTTGGCTATACCTCATCCATCAATCAAATTGATAACGCTGCCTAGAGAAAGCCCATTTTGTTGTGTCCAGAGCTCTTCCTGTGAGGCCTCAGCCTCTTGTCATATGTGGATTTCCGCTCATTAAACTCTAAGATTAGAAGCCCAGAGTCTCCAAACTACATGCAGTGTACTATACATGGCTGGATTTGGGATTTATGGTCTGCATTCCTCCAACTTAGTGTTTAGGAACACTGATGATGAATATTGGATTGTGTTTTTGAAAACTGATTTTATCTGTGCTGAGATGCTTTCAGCTGCTTGTAGTTGAGCTTATCAGCCCTCATTAGCTGCCAGCTGTGAAAAATCGCATACCATGATGTTCACCTTTTTAAAGCCTAGAAAATATTCATGAAAAGCAGCTGGAAACCTCAGCTTATCTGATTTTTGCTAACTTCCCCCTACTTGCACCCCTTTGCCAAAATCTCTAGGGCATAGCTCTCAGGTGAGAGTGTGAAGAACAAATTGCATTCAAACCACCAAGGGTAGCACCTGGGAATGAACCTGTAAACAGGTCAAAGCCTCCGAGAGAGAGACAAGGTGAGTAGATCTTTCTAGATTCTTTTTCTGTTTTGTCCTGTAGAGAGGATGTAATTATCATTTATAACATATCTTAGCATCTTGCTGTAATTTATATAGCAAGAATGATTTTCACCACGTGGGGTCCGAAGTGCATTGAAAGTGATCTAAGGACTCCCCTTAATGGCAGTCAGCTATGAGTCAAGCCCTTGCACTCTGTTAGGGCAAGCTGCACCAGATGCAGTCTTCTTAGCATTTTTTTATTGAAATGCAAGCAATTTTTGACTCTGCAGAAGGCAAGCTGTGTTGATGTTTAATAATTGATGTACTCAGTGGCATGTATAGAAAAAGCTTAGGGAAGAAGGCCAAGATGTGCAAGCTGCTGGAGAGTTTTCCTTCTCAACACTGCTCAAAGTCAAGTAGGGAGTAAATTGTTGTTCCGTACTGAAGTGAGGACATGTTCCAACTGCCTTGCAGAATGAGCTGCAATATTTCACTCTGCTGAATCCCTGCGAAGGTGCTTCTTTGTTATCATGGTTTCTTGATGTGTGTATTGATGAAGTGACCTGGCCCAACAGAATCAGCCACTTGGCAGCATTGTACTTGAGCTCACTTTTGAAGTGAAACTAGTAAATGGAAGGATGAAGGGGCCAGGAATTTCACTTCTGTGCCTGTGTGTGAAGCAGGACTTACAATCGAGAGAGGAATTTAATGGTTTACCTTGAAGCTCAGGCCTTCCTTCAGCTGTCTAGGCATTGCGAGGAAATACTAGACGTATGTTACAGTTTGGGGTTTTTGTGTTTTGTAATATCTTGTGATACATGTGTCCCCCAACCTATCTCTGGAGATAGTCATTGGGTGGAGAAAGTCTTGAGCGGCTTACACTATCAACAGACAGAAGAGATGGGCACAGCTTGATAGAACGCTATTCTAAAGAGGGAGGACATTTACAGGACCACACAGCAGACCAGCAATAGTATTTTCTGAGTTTCAATGTAGTATTCAGCTGCTGGACTAAACTGCTTCTGAACGTTGTCTTTTTGCTGGGTGTACTCTCCTCCGCCCTCTCCCCAGAGGTGCCCTGGAGCCTGTGGCCCGAGCTGGCATGTTCTGCAGAAGCCCCTTCGCCTGGCTCCTCCCTCTCATTTATCTTTATAACAGCGTTGGAAGCCTGCGAGCGTTCCAGCAGTTTCATTGTGCCTGTTCATCGAGTCGCGTCTGCTAGCGCCTGCTCAGGCAAACGGAGCTAGGAGAGGCTGAAGGAATTGCTGTAAGTGAGACGCTGCCTTCCACCGCTGCTCTGCTTGTTCTAGATGGCAAGGATCAGAGGGCTCCGTCCCGGCTGACGGCTTTTCCCCTGCGCTCTCATGCTGATGCCTTTCTTCAGCACTGCACACCGAAGGCTGGTTGAGGAGTGATGTTGTCTTTTTTTGTTTATGTTTAAAAAGACTGAAAACCTTCTGAGGAGGGAGAGCTGATGCTAGCCAAGTAACTTTTTAAATCCTTACTTTGTTTTGCTGTAAAGCCAGGGTGAGAAAACTTTGTTGTACCTCCTCAGGTGGAGGGTGACTGGATCTTGTTGCTGTGGTTAACTGAAGCAGTGGCTAAGGAACTTTACACACTGGGAGGCACTAAACCCCTCTGCCCTCCTGTTATTCTCTCTCTAACTGATTCCCTTTGTCCTTAAATGACTCTAGGACTAAATCAGAGCTAGGGAAGTGTATTAGCCTTTGTAAAAATTCTTTTTTGCCCATATTTTCACTCTACTTGTTCTTTTAGGCAGTCAGCAGCTGGTGTGTTAACAACTCTTTCTTTTTAAGGTGATACCAGCAATGTATTACCAGCTCTGATTTGCTTTTTTTGAAGGAGGCCATTTCAAATAAGGATGATTTTGTAGTATGTACTGAATTGTACGGAAAAAGTAGCAGTAATTTACAGGTTAAATCTACCAGGGAAAATGCAGGTCCTCTGGCTCAACCTGAAGTCTGCTGCTCCTTTTCTGCTGTGTGCCTGGGTGGGTGGTCCAGCTGCTCAGTTCGGGTGCTGCTCTGGCGACAGCTAACAGGAGCTGCCACGTCGTGGATGTTCTGCAGTTACTGCCTAGGAAATGTAGGCTGATCCATAACGCAAACGTCAGTCCTCGCCTTTGATCCTTTCATGAGGATCAAAATATTCCCATTTTGAAGTATTTTTTACAACAGCAACAACAAAAAGGACAGCATTTAAATTTAACCCAGAAAGAATCTTCTGTGTAAAATTTATTCATGTGAAATTTATTCAGGTGAAAAATGTAGAGAAAATGAGTGAGGGCAACTACTGAGCTGCAAGAATCTTCTGTGTAAAATTTATTCATGTCTCTTACCGGGTGAAAAATGTAGAGAAAACGAGTGAGGGTACTACTGAGCTGTAATGTCAAGAGTTTCCACAGGAGTGCAGGTTTGGGGAAAATCTCATAAAAGTTTATGAGATAAAATTAACCAAAGCCAGTGTTTTCTAAGCATCTGTTAGAAGCAAGTAATACCATATGTAGGATTTTTTTGCCTACAGAGTCTCCTAAATGGTAAGTTTTCTTGGGCATTTTTAATATGGTTGTGATAGTTTCTGGGGTAATGGTGTCCTGAACCTTGTTTGGCACTGTGGCAACAAATACAATCAAAACCAATGCAGTGCTTGAGACTTAATATAACCTGGCATTGATTCTTTTTCATAGTTCTGTTGCTGTTCTACAATGACAAATGTACAATTATTTCAAGCCGTGCAGAAATTTTGTTGCAGAGTTTGAAATGAAAAAAAGTTAATAAAATACGCTGGTTTTCACCCTCCTCCCCCCATCTCTTTTTCCTTCTTCAGTTAAGAGTAGGAGGTTGAGACAAAAGAGGGCTTCTGAGGCGTTTTCTCATATGTCTTCATGCAGGGTGAAACAGCTTTGTTTCAGATCATTTTGGTGCAGATGAAACGAACACCTCTGTTTTCTGCAGCCCAAATAGAAAGTGAAATGAAGGTTTTGCTGTTAAGTGCCCTGAATGAGAACTCCTGGAGCTGGTTGTTTCATTAGTGCCTCAGCCAGCTGCTAAAATGTCTTTCACAGCACCCTCCCGTTTCTCAGAGCATCAGGAGCAGTCCGCTTCGGTTCCTCCCGTGCCTTTCCCGGGGAGCCCGGGGCGCGTGCCCCTCGCTCCTCACATCCCTCCAGCTGCTGTGCCCGGAGCCTGCACGCCGATGGTGGCACGCCGCTCCTCTCTGGAGAGCTGACCCGAGGAGAGGCAGCGCGGCAACCAGGGGATAAATCCGCTTCGCAGGTTTGTCACGTCCTCTTTGTTCACCAGAAGGTTTTCTTTGGTGTTTGTTAGGGCTGGTCCATCCAGTGATGCTGTTTTCACCTGGAGACCTTTGTTTGAATTGGGGCTCTTCAGAATGAGGGGCAGAAAATCCAGGACATCCTGATTTTATCCAAGCAACGAGGAACTGTAAAACCAGCTTTAACTACTTGCCTTTCCTCTCTAGCAGGAAGTTTGTGTATTTCTGCTGCAATGGACAGAGGTCTTCACTTCACGTTCTGTGTGATTGCAACCACGCTGCTCCTGAGAGAATCAAGTCAGACAGGTGAGAAAAATGATCCAAAAATGCTGGCTGCGTCCAAAACTGATTTTGTTCTTCTTTACAGTGTTAATTCTTTCAGTCTTTAACTGTTAGTGCTTGCAAGATTTAATGTATGAATTTGCTTTCGAATTGGTTATTAAGACATCATCGGGGCCTACGTTGTTGTTAGAGCTTGTGATTGAGACTTGATTGTGTTAGGAGTGCTGTTACTAAAGTGTCTTTGCTGGTAGAGTTGTAAATCAGATGGCAGAGATCAGGGAAGCTGAAAAAACCTGGAAAAAGGGTGGTTAGGTGTCCTTGAACACCATGGTTGTGGTTAAAGCTGCACTCCTTTGAGTCTACGGTCCCTTGAATTGCAGCAAGATACGCTGATTAACTTGTTCTCCTGTGAGTAATGCTTTCCATGTTACCTGTTTAGCCCCTCTGCTCATGGCATGTGTCGGGAAGAGGGGATTTGGTGCGTTGAAGTTGTCAGCTCTGTGAGTCCCTGGTCTTTCTGTAGGCAAAGTGTAACGCTGCATTCTCCCTGAATTTGCTTAGGAACAGCAGTGACAGCCTGCCAGGGCCTTCTGCGCGGTGGTCAGCCGCTTGGATCACGCCTCGCGCTCGGTGCGAGGAGCTGGGGAGTTTGATTTTGTGACAGAACAACAAATGCCATTGTTTTGATCTCAGTGTGGCTTTTGGGTGTTCCGTGCCTGCAGTCTGGACTCAGGCGAAGGAGTAGCTTGACCTTGCAAAATTACTGGGAGATAAAAATTGGTTTTCTAGAGGACTGAGAGAGCACCTTCACTTCCCCGGCTGTCTCTCCTGTCCGTCTCACGCACCCGTCTCCCATCCACCCAGAGCTGGTGGTTGCATAGCTGTGGCAGCAGCCATTCACCCCAGGTTGCAGATGCTTCAGCCAATTGCTTCTGCAGTGATGGTCAAACTCTCTCATACTGCGAATTCTCTCAGCCTGGATGTCCCGGTGTACCCCAGAACTGTAATCCTCCTGACCTGTCGCCTCTGCGTTTAGTTCAGCTGTCGCACCTGGTCACGAGCTGCAAAAGGGGAACTGCTGGCAGAGGATGCAAAGGCAAGGGTGCTACCCAGAGCAGGAGGTGGGGTAGAGAACTGGGGTGAGGCGGCCAGCTCTTAACAGTGCTGCAGGGTTTTTCACGAGCAGTTAAAACATGGAGCTGTCTCCCAAGAGAACGCTGGGCATGCTCAGAGCAGAAGGGGTAAGGACAAGGCTAATGTCTGCACCCCCAGTCATTTCCTGCAGCCCCTGGCCCGTGGGGAACAAGAGCGGAGGGATGAGCCTCTTGTCTCTGTCTTCTGTTTTTGTAGACTCTCACAAAGGATCCTCACAATGAGGACTTGGCTTCTGAGAAGCGTCGCTGCGATGAACTTTGAGTTAGCGCTGCAGCTTGATTCCTTCTGGTCCTTTCAGGAGTTCTCACAATGGGGCTCTGAACAGCTGCATCCAGTGCCGCTGTGGGGGAGCTGAAGCCCGCGGTACAGACTGTTTTCTTCCAAGAAACCCTAGCAGGTCTTCAAAAAGGAGCCTCAAAAAGCTTTTGCTGGCTTTAATGAGTTTCTAAAGGGAGACAAGAGAACTCCTTTGTGAAGATTTCCAGCTCCCATGGAGAACTGTAGTGGAGAGGGGAAAAAACAGGTTTTGTTTTGCAATAATGTAGAGTTCAGCACAAGGCCAGAAAATGCAAAACCAGAGAATGAATAATACATAATAAATGAGTATGTTGTTATATTTCATGAAAAACTCGCAGCTTTTGCTTGAAAGAGTGAAAAAACTCTATTTTTTTTGTTTTATCTTGAGGGATTCTTGGCTTTGGCACTGTGAGTTCTTTGATTCCAAGGAGCAATGCTGTGCACATTCTGGAAGAAACATCCTGGGCAATTAATGAGTCATATATTGACACAATTGTGGTTTTAATTCTGCGTCTCACTCATTGTAGTTTAGCTCTCTTGCAGCTGGGGTGGGATTGAGGTATTCTCCTGAGCACTGTGAAAAGGGAAGCTGTGGACCAAACAGTTTAACAGGAGTTGTTAAAAGTCACACAGCAGAGCAGAGAGTAGAACCCAGAAGCATGGCTCACCTCAGTAACAGTACTTTTATGGGTGCATCTCCGTGTTTTTACCAAAGAGGGGAGTGTCATTATCTTTGTGGTACAAATGGGAAACTGAGGCGTGGGAAGGAGCAGTAATACAGGAAAGATCGATGGTGGGTTTGACGATTTGACAGTCACTTCAGTGCTGCCTCCCGGGCTGTCCTGGCTCTCGTCACACTTGAACTCCCTGTCAGTGTCACGTATTGCCCTTGCTCTCTGCTCCTTGGCGTGGTACAGAGAACAGCAACACAAGACAGGCTTCCCGGGCCCTCTCGCTTCCGTGCTGTCACTGTTGGCTCCTGGGTTTGATCATGGCCCTTTTGGAGGTTTTCATTTTCACAGGAATGAAAAGTCACGGTGCTTATCCTCTGAGGGGCGAACGCACTACGACGTGGTGGAGAAAGGTTTCTACCCCAGTAGGTGCAGCTTCTATGGCTGCTCGGACGGGAGGAACCTGTCATTGGTAGGGGAAGGGAAGAGAAAGAAAACCTGGTGTCTTGGAGCTTACCGGTGATGAGCTCTTGGTTGTTTACAGGGCTTCTCCTTAGGGGTATAGACAAGGTTTTGCAGGAGTTGGGGGGAAATCTTAGTTGTGGGAAGCAGCAGGAGAGCTGGCTTTTCACCTTGTCAGGGAGGACAATAAGGAAATCAGGCGATGGATTCTGTGGAATCAGTTCCTTGATGTGTGATTGACAGCCCTGATCATGAAGTGACAGTGAGAACCTTCTGCAGCCTGGATCCGGCTGTGTCTGTTCCTGCTTCTGGTTGTTTCACACTAACACTGCCGTGAAGGGGGAAAGAGATGTGACAAAACTGCTGCGAGCCGGCTGCTCTGCGAGCTTGTGAGTCAAGGATGATCATTCTGGTTACTGAAGTGCAATATGAAATGAGGGCATGAAAATTCACTTTTACAGAGCAGTAAATATAAGCCCTGTAAGAAGCTGATTTTGTTGTTGTTGTGTTTTTTCAGGAACTGCAAGGAACGATGGTGCTGTGGGTAAGGTATGTTGAAGTTCGTTGGTGCAGAGCTGCCAATGAGGGTGCATGTGCAAAAGGTCTCACATTTGAAATCCAGAAATAGATGTGGTCGTAGTGTGCAGTGCTTGTAATCTGTGAAGAGTTGTTATTTTAAATACCATTTTCATGGCTAGGGATGGCCATATCTAACTCTGTCTGTGCTTTTTACTCAGTCTTTTGTCCAGGATTCAAAATTCAGTCATGCCTCAGGGAAGAGTCTGCCTCTAGGCCTGTCTTCATGGCTTATAGAATTTAAACATCAGAATTACTGCATCACTTGCGATCTTTATAAAATTCTGAACATCGAAGAAAATTCAGACACATGTGAACATGCAGAGATACCTTTATTAATTCTTAAGATGTATGTTTTAGTTCCAAAAGTTTGCAATTAACATAAAAAGAGTCTGTGTGGGATGTAATTCCTCAGGCTCTTAGAAGAAAGATGGCAAACACCACTTAAAATCTAACCTGCTAGTGTATATATTCACATAATGCAGGACAGTATTTGTCCTAAAGATTTTCCAATCAAAAATGATGGGAGAGGTGGTTATGGCAGTGTTGGGAAATGAAATTGATTGTCCAGATGGCATAGGTAGAGACAGAACTTGTGTCACCTGAGTCTCAGCTCGTTTCTCATTCTCAAAGCATGCTGGATGCCTGTCACGTGCCAAAAAGGGAGTTTTGGGGAAAGCCATGGAATTTCAGGCAGGTTCAGTGAGCATAAACCTCCAGTTGGTGATGTCAGTGTTGAGAAATAAACACAAGCAAACAAAACGCCCCGGAGAAACATAACTCCTCTCATGTCCTCCCCTGTTCCAAGTCTCTGGTCCCCTCACTGCACACATCTTACACTTCCTTCGTGCAGAGGTGAATCCGTGATTTCTTCCTCCCCCTCCTCCCAGGTCTCCTACTGTTCGTTGTCTCCTGGAATTGCTCTCTAATGAGACCTTAATTGGCCTCTAGCTGTTTTGCCTGCAACAGGAATTGATCTCTTTGGAAGACTTATGCACTGTGTATCTGAAGAACTGTGACAACATTTAAAATGATTTTTATTCGGACAAAGTATGCTGACAACACCCAATGAAGTGAAATGCTTGTGATTTATTAATTACTGTTAAGGAACCAGGGGAGTGAGATCGCTGCAGTTTGCAGGGACAGATTCATAGGGGGCTTAGCACATGCGCACCCCCCAGTTACAATGTGAGCCCTAGCTGAGTGGGGCCGTGCCTGGGACTTTGAAATCCAATTATTTCTTCTTCATTTTTTGATTGGCAGGGCGCTGACTCCAGGGGACCAGAAGAGGGTCTTCCAATGCTGACCGTCACAACAATCCTGGTGAGGCAGCGACACGACCCTGACAGCGGCAGGGAGATAGCTGCAATTACACCTTGGGGGTTTTTCACCCATATATTTGCAGGTGGTTTTTTGGGCTGTCTGTAACACCAATATCCCTGTTGATCACAGGCTGGGTTTGGAGTGCTGGCTCAGTGGTGCGGAGGGGCAAGGTGTCTGCAGTGTGCAGTGGGAGGATTCGAGGGCTATCAAGGCCAGCCCACAACATGGGCTGGGCGTACACTTCTATGCACAGGAACTTGTCCAGGAGGGTCTTGAATACCTCCAGAGAAGGAGACTCCACAATCTCCCTGGGCAGCCTGTTCCAGTGCTCCGTCACCCTCAGAGGGAAGAAGTTCTTCCTCATGTTCAGACGGAACTTCCTGTGCCTCAGTTTGTGCCCATTGCCCCTTGTCCTGTCACTGGGCACCACTGAAAAGAGTTTGGCCCCATCCTCCTGACACCCAAACTTCAGATATTTGTAAGCATTTATAAGGTCTCCTTGCAGCCTTCTCTTCTTCAGGCTGAACAAGCCCAGCTCCCTCAGCCTCTCCTCGTAGGAGAGATGTTCCAGTCCCCTCACCATCCTTGTAGCCCTCCACTGGACTCTCTCCAGTTGTCATGTTACCTATATGTTGTTTCTGTCCTACAGTGGAAATATGTAAAGATCACACGTGTGCAGGGATTAAAAACAGGCTATAAAAAAAGAAAGCGTGTTACCACGTGCAGCAGACAAGCAGGACTATTTGGAAGCCGCAGCAGTGAATTTTCCAATGCTGACATCAGGTCCTGCACCAGCACGCGGCCCTCATCTGATGCTCTGAGGGGACAAATGAAATGTGTTCGGGCTTTGAGACTGAGACAAGATTGTCACTTACTTCTGTGGCACCTGTGGCTTGCAGAATGCAGCTGCCCTGCCGGAGCTGCAGCCTGTGACTGGTGGTGGCACCTGACTCCAGCGAGCAGCTTTCAAATTTGGAAGTGTTGTTCCCCAATGATGTGGATAGAGGTCTTTGGGGAGGGTTTGCCAAAAAATGGTTCAATCCACAATCAGCTGCACTGCAGAGTGTGTAATTGTGTCCTTTCCCCTCAAATGCAGGAAGATCCGTATGTCATGGTGAGAAGCGCGGAACTGGAGGGATACTGCATTGATTTGCTGAAGGCACTTGCTGCAATGCTGCACTTCAGCTACAAGGTGAAGGTGGTGGGCGACGGGCAGTATGGTGCTGTCTCTTCCAGTGGGAACTGGACGGGGATGATTGGCGAAATACTGAGACAGGTAATTTTCAATTTATATTTTTGACAAACTGCAGCTCTAGGAGGGAAGAACAGTGCTGGCAGCTCCTGGAATTCATTAGAATTTGCTCCTGGACTGAGCAGCTTGGAGTCAATCCTGCCTGTTGTGTAGAACTAATGAACAGCAAGGCTTGTCGTTGGTTTTAGTCTACAAATGTGGAAACTAAGGAGCGAGGAGACAATGGCCACAGCAGGGATTCATTGTCCCAACTTTTTGGTGCAGTGCTTGTCTTGTCTTGGTGGGTACCCAGTGTTTCTTTGCAGTCTGAGAGATATCTGAGCTCACTAATGAAACAAAGATAATGGCTTTAAGGAAAACTTACCTTGAGCTTAATCACTAGGTGAACTTCTCTCTCAGAAGGGTAATCCCTTCGACTCTTCAAGCAGATGCTGAATGCACATCTTGCCCCATCCTGTGCCATTCCCTAGGGTGGGCATTCTGTCATCTGTTGGTAACGTTTGAATTAAACCTTCTTTGCTCCTTTGAATTCAGTCCCACGTCCAGCTGCCAGTCACATGGACACAGCAGCCAGAGACAGAAAGGAGCGTGCCTTCTGGGTCTGGTGAACAAACCCAATGTGGTTCGTGGTGCACAGCCTCAGTGTGCCTGTGTGATGCTGGAGTAGGAAGCCAGAAGCTCCAGTACCACCCAGCACCCCACTATGAACAATGCAAAATGGAAAACTCTCCTATTCCTTGGAGCTCGCAGTCTGTAATGATGGCTGTCTGTTGACACAGAGAAGTGATTTGCTGTGTAGGTACCTGCCCACGCAGCCTGGGAAGGATTCCATTTGAGTGACAGAAATCTTCAGGTAGGTTGGATGGCTGATTATCTTTTGTCTCCCTCTTACAGGAAGCAGACATGGCCGTGGCTCCGTTGACCATCACGTCAGCAAGGGAAGAGGTGGTCTCCTTCACCACACCATTCCTGCAGACTGGGATTGGAATCTTGCTTCGAAAAGACACCGTCTCTCCGGAGATGTCTTTCTTCCACTTCCTGGCGCCGTTCAGTAAGGAGACCTGGACTGGCCTTTTATTTGCTTATGTGCTGACGTGCTTCTGCCTCTTTCTTGTTGCCAGGTATAAATGAATTTGTTTCACAGATTTTGTTCCACTCAACTTTCTCAGCTATGGAGAGATCTCAGTTTTAAAGACAGTACCAGGGTGCATTTTGATTTGAGGAACCTTCTGTAAAGGTCCAGAAGCAGGGCTAATAATGCTGAGGTCATGTCAGATTAAGACAGCATTAAGATTAGGATCTCACCAGGAGAGCACCATATCTCTTGATGTGGATTACCTAGGGTTGCTGAAAGGACTGTATGTGTGTACATCAGCTCTTATTTCTCACTTTTATCAGAGTTTGTTCTGAACTATGGCCACGTTCTTACGTGTGGGTGTCTCTCCCGGTGTATTTTGATGCACTGTGCCCTGCACTGACTTGTGGCAGAGCTGCTCTCTGCCGCCCTGCCGCCCCCTTCCCAGGAGACTCAGCTCTCTCCCCCTTGCTTGCTTAGGCCACACGAGTGCTCTCTGCAGCTGCAGTCTTGAACAGAAGCCCGAGCCACCGCTGCTGCCAGCGACTTGAGGCACTGAGCAGGGGCGCTTCCCTCTGCACTGGTTAAACTGGGGCTCAGGTGAAGGAGGAGCTACCGTGGAAGGAAAGGGCATTTCCAGGCCATCTGCACTGCTGCAGTCACACCGCAGGGTTATTTGTTTTCTCCCCCTGAATGTCTGGTTTTATCCTGTCGTTTTCCTGCAGACTGAGCCCCTGTGAATGGAATGAGCCGAAGAATGAAGAGAACCACTTCACCTTCTTAAACAGCCTCTGGTTTGGAGCAGGAGCGCTCGCCCTGCAAGGTGAGCGGGGAGGACTGCAGCAGAGCAGCTCCGGGAGCAGGATGGGCGCTTAAGCTGATTGGTGTCAGTTCTCATCTGTCTGTAACATGGTGTGCTGTCCTGTTGAGGGGAAAGCGGTTCCAGCAGGGACGCTCGGCAGCACTGAAACTCCCAGTCTGGGGAGTTTTGATTGCAGAGTGGTTGGAATTGTACAGATGGGTGGCTTCAGTCGAGGAACGCATATTTTCTGCTGTACCAGTTGCCCTAGAAAATGTCAAGCTAACCAACTGGTGCTTGTAGGGTGGTTTTTTGTTGTTGCTTTTGGCCACCAATGTTGCTTCAGCTCTGCATTGCGTGCAGTAGCGGTGCAGTTCAAACCAGCCATAGCGGGTCTTTCCAGGCTCATCCGCTGAGTAGCTGCAGGGCAAGCTTTGAGTTTGGCCTTTAATTAAAGGGAAGTCTTCAGCTCAGGCTCATGGATCTAAAGTTCTTTGTCTTTCTCTCACTGTACATCACCTCCTGTATGTTTTATGGGCTCCGCTGGTCTTGCAGGTGTCACCCCTCGGCCCAAAGCGTTCTCGGTGCGGGTCATCGCTGCTGTCTGGTGGCTCTTCACCATCACCTTGCTGGCTGCCTACATCGCCAACTTCACCGTGCTGCTGAGCTCTGGCAGCGAGCAGCTCCCAATCCAGACTTTTGAAGATCTTGTGAAGCAAAGAAAGCTCGAGTTTGGAACACTGGACGGCTCCTCTACTTTCTACTTCTTCAAGGTGCAGAGAATCTCAATGTGCACACACATCTGTGCCGTAGAACTGCTAAGCTGGAGCCAAATAGTCTAGCTCAAGCCTGACGGTCCTTACCCCACCGTCATTCCTGTAGGCTCCATCAGTTTTCCTGTAATACTTCAAATAATGTGATTGGCATCTGTTGTTTTGCTCATCTCCCACTTTTTCCCAGAACAAAAAGCATCCAGGACTGTATTTTTATAGTGCACTCTCTTTTAAGAAAGCAGTGCTAGTCTTGAGGGGTTATGTTTGAGTGCCTTGAACACGAGGACAGACGTAGGCAATTTCTGGATACGTTACCTGGATGCCTGCAAAGGTGGTTTGGGTGGGGGGGAGGGGGGGGGTGGAAAATATTTAGTACTTCCATCCCTGTAACACTGTGCATTAGAGAGGAAATCTGTGCCAGCTGTACGCTAGTTTTGAGCAGAGAGGGCTCAAAGGGCAATGGTTTAAGTACTCTTATTCTCCAGATTGTTCTGCAGCCACCGCATGTATATGCAGATATTTTCGGGTGATTGTTATACGCTCCGGTTTGACACTTGGATTTTTGGGCTGCAGAACTCCAAGAATCCTATCCATCAGATGATCTACGAATATATGGACAAGAGACGAGAGCACGTTTTAGTCAAAACCTACCAGGAAGCAGTTCAGCGTGTGATGGAATCGAACTACGCCTTCATCGGCGAATCCATCTCTCAAGACCTTGCGGCTGCCAGGCACTGCAACTTGATCAGGGCCCCTGAGGTTATCGGAGCCAGAGGCTTCGGCATTGCCACGACCCAGGGTTAGTCACTGCGCACCACTGCTGCCCCGCTGCTCCACTGGGATTTCACGGGGCTGAAGCAGCACTGGCAGAGCAGAAGGCCTGGCATAGCCACGTCCTGCAGGCTGCACACGGTTTCTGCATTAACGCTAATATCCGAGTGTGAACAAACTGGTAACCCTGCTGTGCAGCGTTTCATTCTGTAGATGAATTACTGCCAGCACTCACTGACCCTTACACTGAACTGTAATGTGCAAAAAAACTCTAGCTCTTGGGGTCACTGGTTGCCCTGGGTGTTTTGGGGTTTGTTTTGGTTCTGCCTTGCTCCCAGTAACGCCGAGCTCCCCGAGCAGTTCGCAGGGCACCGTTAGTTCTCTTGTGGAGCACGACTGCTTGTGTTTCTCAAGGTGCCTTCGCTCTGTCGTCACTCCACAAGCATCGCCAGAGCTCTGTGGGTAGGACAGGAACGGTTGTTACCCAGGAAAAGCCCTTGGCTTTGCCTGCTGCATTCTGTCTGCAGAACGGCCGTCCGCGAGCGGGGAAGCAGCGCCCAGCTGACCCCGCTTGGCAGCGTAGCAGCAGAGAGCTTGGAAATGTTACCATGGCTTGGCTCCCTCCATACTCTTCTCTCTCTCTCTTTCTACCGCTGCCAGCATCCCCGTGGACTAAGCAGCTCTCCGTTGCCATCCTCAAGCTGCGTGAATCGGGTGATCTCGACTACTTGCGTAACAAGTGGTGGGAGACCAGCTGCCTTCAGCAGAGCAGAGACAGATGGAGTCCTCTGCAGCCCCAGGCGCTGGGTGGGCTCTTCCTCACTCTCGCAGTCGGCCTTGCCCTGGGCGTGATTGCGGCCGTGGTGGAGCTCTCCAATAAGAGCAGGCACGCTGCTGGACACGTGAAGGTAGGTGACGGGGTGACCTCCTGTCCTCCTGCCTTGTGTCCCTCCTGCTGAGCAGGACAAGCTGGGCACAACGCTGGGCTTCCACACCGACCTTCTGCTTTCCAAGGAAAGCAGTGCAGCAGGGTGAGGGGGCAGACACACGATGTGTTTGCTCTTTACAGCGCTGACGTTTCATAGCTCGGGCTGTGCAATAGCCGTGTAGCCTGAACAGGGTAACAGTAATAAAATAACCCCCCACCCCACAAAATATCAAGCAGAAACATTTACTGTAACTCCTAGGCAGCCAAACTGCGTTCCAGTACGCTGAGTGTGTACAGAGGACTGCCCAGTAACAAGTTTATTCTCAGTTATGGCTGTTCTCAAGTCATCCGACACGCAGGACAACGCGTGTGAACGCAGCCGCACTGGGACCTGCGCGTGCGCCGTGGTGTGCTTGTTCCCCACCGCTGCAAGGGCTGGGCTGTGCACGCCGAGACGGTGACTCCATCACACGGAGCAACTCACCCCCCCGTCTCCTCCCCTTGTGTTTTTCAGAAATCGTGTTGCTCCGTTTTCGTAGAAGAGATGTGCGCTCGTCTACGTATAAAAGAAAATACAAGACAAAGCCAGGAGACTTCAGGGAGGGCTAACGCTTGAGAATGTTTGGATTAAGGAATGGGCATGTATTAGGTTTATACCATATACACATCATAGGAACTACAGCAGTGTAGAAAGATGTTCTTCTGCAAGCCTAGCGTGTTAGTTTTCTAATTACAAACACAGAGAGCATTTCTGGATTGGCGGTGGAGCTGGACAGAGAATAAAATTAAGTGGCTTGGAAGAATTTAAATTGGTAAGGGGTAGCGGGTCACTGTTTAAGGGAGGTTAACAACTTGGTAACGTAACGTTGAGGTGGCTAAGATGGAGCATCCATACTTGGTTTAGAAGTTCACGATGTAAGTACATGAACGCCTGTAGGAGTAAGTGACGTGGGACAGGTTAGTACGAAGCCTCTGCTCACTAGTGACAGCATGAGGTACAATCTTGGAAAAGTAAAGCTCTCCTCTGACTGTTCTAACCAAGAACAACTGCCTCCTGAACACTGTAGTTATCAATAGACGGTGCTCCTCCCCTCTTCTCAGCAGAAGACGCTGGTCCCTGTGACGGCAGTTTCTGAATCAGAAACGACAGCACTGATGCGCAAACCCCCAAAATGCAGGACCCCAGAAAGTGAGACCGCGCAATTACGGGACCGCCAGACTTCAGCAGTGCAAGACGTGGGCCTGTCCTTTGTCTGGTTCCCTGTTCAGCCACAGAGGGTGCTTTGTCCTCGTTAACCTGATCAAGAAGTATTTAGGAGGAAGATTGACAGTTGAAATCCAGCGCTACTAGAGCATGACATTAGGTAATCAGTCAAAACAAAGTCCGAGCTCACCAGGCAAGGGTGAGGCAGTGAGCAGGGGGCGTTCTGCATTATTCTGCTCTCAGAGAAGAATCTTTGAAATTCAGGGGTAACAGCGATCTCAGCTGCATATTAAAGAGTTTTCTAATTAAGCTGTTTTTCATTTCAGAGCTGGAAAGACTGATGCATGCACATGCTGGTTTGCGAATTCGGGGTTAAATTACTCCATTTATGTTCTACACATTTGATGGAGGGGAAAAAAAAGCAAATTCAGTTACTTGGAAATGGCTTTAACTGCACTGCATGAACAGAGAGAGTAATTCTTCTCATTCGCAGCATTAAATAACCGAGGGCAACAGAAACTACCATGCCTGCACCAGGAAACCAGCTGGGTGTTCCTGAACAAAGCACTACGGGCTCCCTGGGAGGGTAACTTAGCGGGACTCACCTTCCAGCTCCTGCTGAGTAATGCAGAAGGGTTGCAGAGTTCCCCTCCCACCCAGCCATTACCAAGTGCAACCACCGAGAGCAGCAGGAGTCAGGAGTCCTTCCAGCTGCTGGTAAACTGGCGCTGTTCGGCCACCGGCTGCGCGCTCTCGGATCACGACAGCGCGATTTTACAAACAGCTTAAGCAATGTTAGGTCAGAAGGTGGATCGGTCCTTCCACCGAATTAACCGCAAAGAGCATGAAACACTTTAGGCAGGTTTAAAAGCTGACGTGGAAAATGCGATGTCAGGTTCACTTAGCACTTAAAAACTGTTTGGTACGTGCCATGTCATCGCTGGCAGAGATGTATAAAAAAAGGTTTCATTGACATTTAAATATATTTCTATATGAATGTCTCACAGAACAAAAAAATAAAGTCTTTTCATCACAGATACTGCAGCATTAAAATAAACACTTACCAAAATAAACAATGAGTGATATACATATATATATTTGAGTGTGTATGCTATAGAGTGAATCATATTGTTGCTTTTTAAGTCACAAAAGCACAATATAAATACGGAATTTCCTGTGAACTCTTTTTCCCTGTTGTAATAAAAATACATTCTTTACAGTTAAAGTAAAACTAGTGCAAGTCCATTCTGCTGCTCCTGCTCACCCCGCCGACCAGATCCCTATCATTTACATGGCACTTCATACTTAAAGATGACACTGAAGATCTTCCCTCCGAGACGATCGGCGAGCCAGGAGTTTTTGATAACGGCAAGCTTGAGGCTCTCGCACTTCAAAGCCGCGTAGTAGTTCGTGTGGATGGCACGACCCATGCCCTCGATGATAACCAGGTCCGTCTTCCGCTCTCTGACCAGCACTGCCAAGCCTTTGTCCAGACGGCTGAAACGAGAGCTCTGCGTTAGCAACAACCCTACTCGCTGCAGACAAAAGACGGGCTGTTCTAAGGGCTTGATCGGTTACACTGCACGGGGTGGGAAGTGGAATTACTGATGCCAATAAACAGGAATGCTTTAAATCAAAGGAGACTGAGGCGTAGTTTTAAAGTTTCATTAAATGCATGCAGAATTGGGATTTCCCAGGAAATACAGGTAAGTTCTGTCTCCAATAGAGGAACTAATTAAAAATAAATAGGCTAACAACACAAAATGCTTCTTATGGTCAGGTGGATTTCTTGCTCACATGCAGGACCCTACACCACCGCACCTCAGCTGCTCACAGATCTGACAGTGTCACTGCTCAGCACAAACACGCTACGTAAGGTGTCCAACAGCTCGTGAGGCCTCATCAGCGTTACAGCCTGGGAATCCACTCCAAGCAACTCTTGATGGCTGTGCCACAGTGACTGGTGTCGGGAAGGGGGGCTGAGGTGCTGCGGGGCGCAGGCTCTGAACGTCCCACAGCCGGAGGAGACAGGTAACCAGCTGGTGCTCTGCCAACATACCTGAGATCGAGACACGGAGAACTCGAACCCGTCTGAACCAACAGCAGCTTCTCTTCCCTCAGTGCAGATCTTATTTAAAAAAATAGACAAAAACATTAACCAGCTACCTCAGCAGGGTCACGTGGATCTGGTAATAAGCCAGGTGACAATGAACATCTAAGCATTCTTTGCAAAGGCTTCTTTCCTGCCAGGATTTCACCACGAAACAGAGTGTTTCCCTGAGCAGAAGGATTATGTAGTCAGCTACGTCTCCTCTACCGGGACGCTCTGTATGTGAAATATGTGTATTTTCCTCTATTCTTTCTAACATAGAAAATCTATGGTTTAGTAGCTTGAGTGCTTCTCAGGGAAGATACAGACAAGAAGCATAATTATGGATGTTCAAGAAAGATCTGATTTCTAAATTTTTCACCTTAATGAAAGTGAATGATCTGCCTCAGCTTACTTGCAGGTTGCAGATTTCAGACACTAATAAACGCAGTTAAACATGAACTAAGTGTGTCACAGGGAACTGGCTTTGTCCTCCTGTGCACGGCACGAGACAGAACGAAGACTGGTTGGACGCTTACTGGATGACCGGATCCATTGCTGCTATCCGTTCGGTAACGATCAGGGATTCGCTGTAGGTGACATCGTTTAGGGCAGGGCCAGAGTTACAAGCCAGTATAACCTGAGGGACAGATGTCAGCAGAGTTCACCAGTTAACGCGGTCCACTGCGGTGTTACAGCTGCTGGTCTGTTTGCACGCGCCGCTGCCTGACTTTACAGAAGAGGAAATGCCAGGAGCAAGGCTGGAGGCCCAGGCCTCGTTTTCCCTCCGTTACCCGGCTGTTTCTGGGCTGTTGGTGTCACAGACCCTTGTTCAGCAGACTTGGGGCTGACAGAGGCCTTGCTACCTTTCACACGCCGCTTAAAGTTAGACTCTGGGGTTCCAGGGACTTGGATTACTCCCAGTTTGGATGTTAGGAGCCAGTCTGGTGAAGAGCACTGCTGGCAGGTAGTTAACAAACCTTTCGCCAATTACCCAAGCCCCATTACATAGTGAATTCACAATGAAAAACCACTTACCTCTGTCCCTCTAGAAAGGAGCTCTCTGACAAAAGGAAAGACTCCTAAAATTATGTCTATTCCACTGTTATCTGCGAAAATTAAGGCACATTTATGAGGGGGACCCTCCTGTAAGAGAAAACCAACGTATTCAGGACTGAGGTCACAATTCGTTTCAGTGACTACTTTGTGTTATTTAGAACTACTCACTTTAAGCCCCCACATTTTATACCCTTAAATGAGGGGCAATTTTGGTTATTCAGTAGCAGCATAACTCATCAGAACGTTACCTACCCTGGATCTTAGGGGAAATCGCTTTTCCTAACGTTGTCTTTGCATGGTTATTTAAAACAGCCTTTAGTTACTTTGCTTTGTTTGAGAGAGGCCTTTCAAACGCCACTGGTAGAGCCGACATCTGCCAATTAACGACACGCCTCACTCATCAGCCCTGATCAGGCCCGTACTTCCGCGGCTGCTGAGCACTCGTCAGGCCCAGTCCTCCTCTCCGGAGGCCGGCCTGCGGCTCGCGCCGTG